AGAGGAATTTCCCATGCTTGTATGTATGATTCAAAAAGCAATTTTTCTTAATACTGTATTATATACTTGAAAGTTGCTAAGAGAGGAAATCTTATATGTTTTCAACACCAAAAAGAAATGATAATTATGTGACGGGAGGGGGGTGTCAGCTAACACTGTGGCGGTAATCATGTTGCAAAATATAATGTATTAAATCAACACGTGGTACACTTTACACTTACACAACCTTACATGTCCTTTATATCTCAATAAAGCTGGGAAGAAATAGAAAGTCATTTTCTATAGTCCATTATAATGTAATTTTTTTCCAGAATGTTTTTTATTTAAATTCAGTTAATTAACATATAGTGTATTATTAGTTTCAGAGGTAGAATTTAGTAGGTAGAATTTCATCAGTTGCATACAACACCCAGTGCTCATCACATCACGTGCCCGACTTAATGTCCATCACCCAGTTACCCCATCCCCCCATCCCCACCCCTCCAGCAACCCTCAGTTTGTTTCCTATGATTAAACCTCTTATGTTTAGTCTCCCTCTCTGATTTCATCTTGCTTTATTTTTCCCTCCCTTCCCCTATGATCCTCTGTCTTGTTTCTTAAATTCTACATGAGTGAAATCATCTGATAATTATCTTTCTCTGATTGACTTATTTTCTTTAGCATAAAACTCTCTAGTTCTATCCACGTCATTGCAAATGGCAAGATTTCGGGTTTTTTGATGGCTGAATAATATTCCGTTGTATGTATGAACCACATCTTTATCCATTCGTCTGTTGATGGACATCTTGGCTCTTTCCACAGTTTGGCTATTGTGGACATTGCTGCTATGAACTTTGGGGTGCAGGTGCCCCTTCTTTTCACTACATCTGTGTCTTTGGGGTAAATACCCAGTAGTGCAATTGCTGGGTCGTAGAGTAGCTCTATTTTTAACATCTTGAGGAACGTCCATACCGTTTTCCAGAGTGGTTGCACCAGCTTGCATTCCCACCAACAGTGTAGGAGGGTTCCCCTTTCTCCACATCCTCACAACATCTGTCATTTCCTGATTTCTTAATTTTAGCCATTCTGACTGGTGTGAGGTGGTATCTCACTGTGGTTTTGATTTGGATTTCCCTGATGCCCAGTGATGTTGAGCACTTTTTCATGAGTCTGTTGGCCATTTGTATGTCTTCTTTGGAAAAATGTCTGTTCATGTCTTCTGCCCATTTCTTGATTGGATTATTCTTTGGGTGTTGAGTTTGATAAGTTCTTTATAGATTTTTGGATACTAGTCCTTTATCTGGTATGTCATTTGCAAATATTTTCTCCCATTCTGTCAGTTGTCTTTTGGTTTTGTGGACTGTTTCTTTGGAGAGATACCTGTTCGTTATGATGTAATTTTTGTTTTGGATGGCCTCCAGGGGATGAGAGATTTTTGTTTGGATGATAAAAATCCAGGGGTGGGGGGAAGAAACATGAAAAAGAGACCAAATTTACTTTAAAATTTAAATTTAATCATTGAAAGATTAAGTGAGTAAATCAAGTATAAATGATTAGATCACAGTGCCAGCCATTAACTTAGGTTGTCCTTCATTCCACTGCGGTGATGTGCCAGACACTCTGTGATTTAATGTCAGCAACAAAGGCGAGGGTGTTGGCTTTCCAGAGCAGCTGTCTCAACAAGGAACATGAACAACAAAGCTCTGCAGAGCCCGATTCTAGGAAGGTTCACAAACTGTGCAGGCAGCACAAGGTAGAGGAATGGCTGTCATGGGACCAAAGGAAAGGTTCTGCTAGGAAGGAACAATCAGGCGGCGGTGCCTTCATTGGAGTTTTGCCAGATCAAACACGCTTAAATACTTCCAGGCAGAAGGAAGGGTGGGTCATTATGTACCTGTGAATTTAAACTGCGGTGATTTTAAATAGTCTTGTGAAGAGCGGATAGCCAAGATGTCCCGAGGCACCAGGAGACATGAACTTCTGCTAAACGGAGCAGTCCTGGTATCAGATGAGTCCTGGACCTCTGGAGGGTGTTTCAGAAAGTAAGATGGAGGCGGGAAGCCTCCGTCAGAACAGGAAAGCACAAGGGGGCCACCCGGGGGACGGGTGTGAGCTGACCCGAATCAGGTTTTATAATTACTTCATTTATCGGAGGCGGTTAGAAGTGCAAGAGCTGTGACTCACAAAGCAAATCTTGCCCGGGCTTTTCATATATGGAGAATCAAGGACAAAATAAGTAGGAAAATATCTAACAAAAACCAAACCTCAACTTTCACTGGGAAAATATATGTATTTTATATTTATATTTCTGAGCTGTCATTATGACTCTTTCATCTTCATGAATTTCAAAAATATTTTAAAGATTTTATTTATTTATTTGTGAGAGACAGAGAGCACAAGTGGGGGGAGGGACAGAGGGAAAAGCAGGCTCCCCGCTGAGCAGGGAGTCCGATGTGGGTCTCAATCCCGGTACCTGGAGATCATGACCTGAGCCGAAGGCAGACGATTAACTGACTGAGCCACTCAGGCGCCCCTCAAAAATATTTTAAATGATTTTTTACACACTTACATTTTTTACTTTAAATGTGCAGCAAAGTCAGATGACAATAAGGGATTTTTTTCTAGTCATTCATTGGCTGTAATACCAGGGGGAGGACCCGATCTCATACAAGGGGATAATGTACGGCTGAATTCCATTTCACCCTACTTTGGACCATAGTAGAACGTGATTACTTAGCAAATATATTATTCCTCAATCAGCTTGGACCTGCATTACCTCGGGACCAGAAGTTTTGGTAAAGGGGAAGGTAAGAGAGCCATTGCTAATGTTGAACTAAGAAAATGATTTCTAAAGGAGCAGCCTCACCAGGTGCCATGTGGGGCCCCTGTGGTGGACCCTCCCATTCATAGCCCAGAATCCAAATCCTGAAGACACTCTGACATCCCCATGGGGGAAATAAATTCTTTACAAATGCCACGATCCCACTCATGGCTGGTTCTCACGTCCACCTCCCAGTGGCATCCCGAGGTGAACCTGGCAGCATCCAGGGTACAGAGTGCAAAACTGAGCTCTCAGCATGCTTTTTGGGAATCTGGTTGATACGCCCACATGGCACACTCCTCGGGTCACCCGAAATGATGAGGGGAGTGTTGTCTGTGCCCCATGCAGGCTCCTATCCACTGTGGGGAGAAGTACTTTCACAAATGGGCAGACCCCGTGGCCCACATAGCCCCTTTTCACTTAACCTGGTTTATTCTATGCCTTTCTCTACTTGATAAAACTTTCCCACAGAAATCTTTCCCGACTCTGGAACTAGGACTGAATTAATGGCTCACATTAACATGGACCCTGCTTCACGATAGTTAACTACTTAGTAAATGTTTTAGAACAAAGGAAGGAAGCAACACCAGATACACGAGACAGAATCACTTTTGAACTATTGGGACTTTGGGGTTCCCTTGGTGCTGCCCAATCCCCATTTCCCAAACCAACCACTCGACCACAAACTAGAATTACAGAGATTTCTTTTTTTCCCTACAAGTCTAAGAAAAAAAAAACACCATTATGTCAAGTATCTCGTGAGAAAACGAAGAGCAGACACAGAGGCCTTGCCCCTGTCTACACGGGATGCCCTTCAGGCTGGGGCCCAGGAGGGACAACAGTGATGAGGCTCGCGTTTAGAACTCGGGGAGGTGGGAAAGCACAGGTGGGAAATGTCAGCCGGCCCCGCGCCTCTGCTTGGGATGACATGGGGTCAGGATCTCCAGCAAGTGCCAACAAGGGATTGATGAAATGAACGATATTGAACATAATCACTTAGGCACCGTCTAAAGCCCTCCCACCCCCTGCCGTCCCCAGTTTTTCATCCTGCCCCTTAATCCAAGATCCCCAATGAGTTCTCTGATACCACAAGGAACAGGTTTTGCCCATGTTTGAAAAGAAATGTCTCCTCGTGTCCTATCTCCTCTCATCTATGTTGCGATGGAAGGAAAACACTAATACTGTGAAACATCTTTAATCTTTGATTCTGTAACTCACATAAAACAGGACCTCCAGTGGCCGACTCATCCTCAGGGATCAGTTTTGGGCCTTGCTTTCCGAACTTGTAAGCAAGGGTCCTCACGTTTGTGGAGAAACACTTTTGAAGAAGAGACTGTCTAGTAAGTGGGATTTTAGGAGAGACTTCTCAGTAGGCTTAACCAATTTTCTGGCTCAAAATGGGGGGTTTCACTGTCAGGATCAAAATTATTGAAATTGGCCTCATTTGTGTACAAAGATTAATAACGATGACACATTTTTTAAAAAATTGTAACCCTGCTTCCAATTCTTACCACCAGCAGAGGGAATATTCCACATCTAATCTAGAATGATTTTACGGCAACATTGTGAAAAATAACACCTTCGAGATACAATTACTTCTCTAACGTGTGAGAAAAGTCCCACTAACGGGCAGCCTGAAATCCGATTCTGACTGGATTAGGGAGGCTGTGGGCGGGGAAGCATCCCTAATAAAATCCCCTCCCAGGGGATCTCGCTTCAGAACTGCTGGGGAAGGCCTGGGGCCAGAGCGGGGCTGAGGTGAGTCCAACCTCACAGGTTTCCTTTGTATTTCTCAAATGTCTACAAAGACCTGCAAATACAGAGAATAAACGGGTGGTTGCCAGAGGGGAGGGGGTGGGGGATGGGCAAAACCCGTGAAGTGGGGCGGGAGGTGCAGGCCTCCGGTGATGGAGTGAGTCTCGGGGAGGAAAGGCACAGCCCGGGAGCATAGTGGGACAGCACAGAACCTCTCAGCACTTCGCCTGGAGCCTGGGGATGGATGGTGTCCTTCATGCCAACCAGCATTTTGAGTATCAGACGCTGCGGGCCATGAGTCCTGTCTGCACGTACGCAGCACCTTCATGACTCCGCGGACGTGGCCGCAAATCACCACGCAGGCCCAGGTGAAAGTGGCCCAAGGCCTGATCTCCGTCTGACCCTCGCAAAGTCCCCTCTGCCCATCTTTCCCCACACAGCGGCCATGGCCGAACACTTTAAAGAAAGAAGTGGATGTCCTGTGTGCCTGACTCACCTGGAGACACCCATGTACCTGCAATGTGGCTTCGTCTGCTGCCTCCGCTGCATCGATTCACTGCAGAAGGAGCCCCGAGGGGAGGGTTTCTTGTGCCCCTCCTGCTCCGTGGTCTCTCAGAAGAAGGACCTCAGGCCCGGTACCCATCTTGGGAGGCTGGTTTCGAGGATCAAGGAGTTGGAGCCCCAGCTGACAGCCGTTCTGCAGATGAACCCGAAGATGCGCAAGTTCCAAGGTACGGCCTGCCCCCAACCCCTGAAGAGCCCTGGAAAACGTAACTTGCCTACAACTCTCCACACACAAGGGCATGATCTGAAATGTTTATCTTTGCAAGCCACAGCTGTTCTTACCTAGAAGTATAGATTAGAACCATCTGTAAGAAAATAAGCTTCTGTCCCTGACCTGCACCTAAGAGAAATCATGCCTGACTCTCTCACAACTCCGAGTTAGGGTGAGTTCTCCCAGTTCCCCAGCACTTCTCACCAGCTCAAGCCAGGATGCCAAGCGGGACCCCCCAGGCTCCCTGGAGCGGGGTCAAGTCCTTGGCTCCTTCTGGCTCTGTCCAGGCTCTCCTATGATGGGTCCTGAGGAACGGTGTGGCCCTTGGTGTGAATGGGGTGTGAGCAGAGTGATGTGGTGGGCACTATGGTCCCCAGTGTCTTTGTGAAGGACACAAAGGGGTGGCTTTGTGTTCTGAGTGTACTCTAGCTCCATGCTAACTCGAATTTGGGATGGCGAGCCCTGTCCCAGAAACATGACAAGTCTTGCCAAGTCCCCTGTGATGGTGAGACAGTCTGAGCATCTTCCAAACAGCTGTATGTCAGGGCACCAAGTGAAACAGTTGGTCTTTGGTCCAGAGGGTTTGTTTCCGAGGCTGTGTTGCCTCCATCCGCATGGTCCCCTTAGGATAGCCTCCTGATCAGGGGCTGCAGATGTAGGCAGCACACACAGTCCCCATGGGATGGAATCTCCCCACCCCTCTGAGCCATGCCCTGCGTCTAAGTTGCTGCCAGACCCCAGCACATCCCCACTCCTGTCCACGGAGCCCCTTCCCCTGCCTGGACTGTCCAGAGTTCACCCAGCTCCTCTCAGGACCCCCAGCCTTACTTCTTTGTGTGTTTGCAACCCCGGGAATCAAAGGTCTAGGATGTGTTTGCCTGTTAACAGCAGTAAACGAAGAAGGTAATTGGCAAGAAGACGTGAAAAACTTCCGTATTTAATGTTCTAAGATTAAGTTGCTCTCATTCACATATTCATTTGGTGCCTGTACGTCAATGGAATATGTGGTTTGCATAATAATTTTGAGAACAAACAACAGTCATAGTGTCTTCATGTTATGATCTGTGCCAAAGGAAGAAGCATCTTTAATCAAATAGAGAACTTAATGTGAAGAGAACACCCCTAGTAGGGGTGGGAGGGACTAGTTCGGATTATAATCATTCTCTCTCTACATTCGACCACATCAGGGGCCAGGGAAATTCTGATCAGGGAGGAAGCACAGGGTGAAGAAGTGAAGGCGGGCGAGACATTGGGGACTTTGCAGCAGACGTGCCGAGTGCCGTCGAGCGCGTGTGTTTGCTGATTGGCTTGTTTTCCCTCCACAGTGGAGGTGACCCTGGATGTTGACACCGCCAACCACTACCTCATCGTTTCTGAGGACCTGAGGAGTGTCTGCTGTGGGTATTCCAAACAGAACCGGAGAGCCCGAGCCGAGAGATTCAACTATGCCCTGTGTGTCCTGGGCTCCCCTCGGTTCCCCTCTGGCCGCCACTACTGGGAGGTGGACGTGGGGACGAGCAAGGAATGGGATGTGGGTGTTTGCAGAGACTCTGCTAATCGACAAGGGCCAATTCTACTATCTGCAGAACTTGGCTTCTGGACGGTGGGCTTGAGAAAAGGAGATCTCTTCCAAGCCAGCACCATGCCTGTGACTGTTCTCTCGGTGAGCCCCCGGTTACACCGACTAGGGATTTTCCTGGACATGAATTTTGGCACCATTTCCTTTTATCACATTAGCGATGGATCCCATATTTTCACCTTCACTGAAATTCCTGCTGTGGAGACACTGCGTCCATTTTTTGCTCTTTCGGATCCCATCACGGATGGTCAAGGCTTCCTGAGAATCTGTCCTGTGATGAATCCAGCTCCAGTGGGCTCAGATACAGAACAAAGTTTCTAGAGAATCCCCGTGTGCTCAGAGCCGCAGCTGGGGCCTTTCCTGCCTGGTACGTGGACGGCACAGCGGGCAGCAGAAAAACACAGAACAGTTGGCGAACATGAACACTAATTACATAAGGGAGAAGTGCCTTTCAAACAAAGTATCACCACAGTCATTCTCTTTGGGACTTTCATATTTCTGTTCCAGTGAACGGGCTCTGGATTTTCAGATCAATTTCCAAATGTATTTATTTTCCGCAGTATTAACTTAGTGTGTGATGGAGATTATAAACTAAATAAAAACGTGGACGTGACCTAACAGATTAATTGATTTTCTAGGTACTATGTAAGCAAAACCTATGGAAACAGTAAATATGTGTGTGTACGTATTCAGTTTCCCTCAACGGCTGAAATGCACACATTCCTTTCAGGTGCACACCATTTGGAATATAGGAAGAAGGCAGGCAGGGCAATCGGGGGGTGGCTTCCACTGAAGGGGGATTGCAGCCTGGCACCCTCTAGCTGCCCCGGCCCCTCATCACTGTGCCATGGCCTGCAGGCCGTGGGGTAAAGGGAGTGAGCTGGTGGTTGTCAACCCAGGGCGGTTCTCTAGTGGCTGGTGGGTGTGTCATTGCAGGGGGTACTGTGTGTGCCACCCCGGCAGGGGGAATATGCATGGGACCCAGCCCTTTCCAATACAGGACCATGCTTAACTTCTGTATGTGGTCAATCCGTCCAATCATGGAGACGTCAGTGAGAACCTTACTAGGTAACAGGAGCACTTCTGCCACGGTGGGTCATCCCCCCTGGAGAGTAAACGCTTGCAGGTCCCCAAGCAGAAGAGACTGCCTCAGTGCAGTTCTCAGAGGGGGCTCCCAGGGTGCTGCGGATGAGGAGGACCAGCCAGAAACACTGACCGTCAAGTCCCGCGGGCATTCAAGGGATTGGGAGGCAGATTATGACACTGTCGTCGAGTTGTGTGTGCTTGAAAACGTCCCTAAAATGTGCATCGTTAAGGAGCAATTGTTAAATGGAGCCCTCTGAAATTACAAATACGCAAACTAGAATACATGAGTGATGAAAAAGAATTAGCCCTAAAAGCAGAATGACAACAGAGAAATAATAGGAAGCAAAGGATGGCAAAGGCAGCGCCCACGGGAAGTGTGTGGCTGTCTCAGGGGCAGGGGCATGACAGGCCCGCAGACACCAAGACAAGGAGCTGCAGGGAGCTAACTCTTCTTAGGTAGTAAATACATTCAGCTCACGGGCCATGTGGTGTCTGCCTTATCTACTTCCTGCTGCCTTTGTAGATGGAAGCTGCCATAGACAATATGAAAACAAGGGGCCGTGTTCCAATAAAACTTTATTTACAAAAAGCGGCAGGCGGCCAGGCCCTGGCTGGCCCACCTGTGTCAGGGCATCATGCACTGACTGCCAGCTGGTTCACAGCCCAGCGCAGGGTGTGTGCACACCCAGAGCGCGGAAGGGGCGTGCGGTCCAACGCACAGGGCGGCGCGGCCCGGGGCCCAAGCAGAAGGAGAGGATTCTGCACGGAGGGGCAGACCGAGTTCTCGAGGGAAGGTGAGGCAGAGGCTGGCTGAGACAGGTGCGGAGACGGAACGCGCGAGAAAGGCTGGAGCAGTGGGCCGCGTGAGCACACGCACTGAGGTGCTGAGGAGCAGGGGAGCACTGGAGGCACGGCGCAGGACCTCCGTCTCCAGTGCCACGGGCCGGTCACAGACCCAGGCGCTCCCCCAGACAAGCCCTGGGCCATCCTGTCCCCTCCAGCCCTCAGCCCCTGCAGACACACCCACGGGGACCCCCACAAGCACCCACAACGGCCACCGGAGCAGCTCGGCGGAGAGCCGAGAGAACCACTGAGGCAGGCACAGAAGCATTCAGGTTGGGATGGGTCACAAGCGCAGGCGATTAGGACTAATGGGGGGGCTCTACTGAGAAGTGGTGGCTGGCATATTCTGAACAGATGAACGAGTGTCGGGACACAAGGTTTTTGGAGCTCAGGTGTACTCACGCTGAAGGAAGAAAAAGGAGCAGGCCCAAGAGCTAATTCCGAAAACCCCCTAAGTTGTGCAGCCGCGCGTGTGACTGCACTGCTGCTGGGCTTGGCCGTGCTTCTCGTGTGTGACAAGGATGGACACGCAGACTATCACAGCCTTCCAGGAGGGCACGATGGGGCGCCGTGCTGCCTCAGCCCCCGTGTGCGGCCCCCCGACCCCGGCAACGGCGCCATGTCCTCCAGGGTCAGCCCAAGAAACACTCCTGGCCAGCTTCTGGCGCCCCCAGGCACTCCCTTCTCTGGATGGGGAGGCTGCTGCCCCCCCCCCACCGTCATGTGCAGGAGGGAGCCTGTCAGCCTGCCCTCACCCCCCCACTGAAGAGCAGGGACAGAACTCCCACCGCCCTTCACCTGAGCTCACTCCTGCTCTGCCATCTGTCTCAGTCCCCCGTCCCCATGGCTGCTCAGGGCTCACAAGCCACCCTCTCAAGTGGGCCACCTCCTTGGGGAGACACGCTCAGCCCTCATCACCGTGGGAGAGGGATCCAGCGGAGGCGGGTCAGTGGAGGAAGAACACAGGCCCAGCACATGGGTGGCACCGGGGGGCCTGGGCTCTAGCAGAAGTGGACTCCGGTTTCTCAGGACTGCTGGCCCGATGGGGGATGTGTGTGCGCTGGGGGTCACGTCCAGCGGGACACAGCATGGCAGTGCCGTCAAGGGCTCACCAACAGCTTACTGAACCCTGGACGACCCCTGACCCCCATCCAACAACCCCATCAGCTCTCCAGCCCTAAGTGGGCTGCAATGCCCCTCCCGCACCCACACAGGCGCCCCCCCCCACCCCGCCCCGGAACCGAAAGGCTTCTGAGAAGAGGCAACCAGGTTGGAGCCCTGGGTCCCCCAGATGAGGGGTCCTATGAATCATGGATGGGAGCTTGGGGGAGCCACACCCGTGAGAATTGCCATTTATTCCCGAAGTCGCCAAAATTATCACCAAGGATTCACCAAGGGGTGTGCATGGGGACGAGGAGGCTCAAACACTGATTGAGGGGCCAGTTGGGAGGGAGGGGAATGGGTGGGGGGACCCCCAGCTGTCCCTCCCCTTTCTAATGCCACAGGAAAGGGGTCCTCCTCTGGCCAGCACCCCTCCCCATCCCCCATGTCCAGTTTCTCTCCAGGGAGGTGGGGTGGGGGACATGGAGGAGGGTGTAGTGTGAGTGGGCCCCAGGAGGGAGAGGGTGCTGGGGTGGGGGCGGGGGGTCCCCCGCTTCACATGCACTCACAACACTGGTCTCCCAGGGAGCAGAAATGGGGGAAGCCAGGCCAGGCCAAATCCCCCTCCCTCCTGGATTATAGAAGGAAGGGGTTAGTGTTGGGGGCCGGGGGGCCTGGGGGCATCATGGGGGGCAGGCCAGGGCCCCCACCAAGGGGAGAGATGTATGTTGGTGGTGCTCCAGGGACCGGGGGCACAGGGCTGAGCCGGAGCTGGTTCAGCGTGAGCGTCGCAGGGGGTGCAGGCTGGAAGGGGTTGGTGATGGAGGGACCGGCTGTCGGGGCTCCTACAGGAGAGAAAGGAGAGGAGACACGCAGAGCAGAGTCAGGGGTCTGCCTGGGGAGGAGGTCAGCAGGAAGGACCGGCCTGGGAGGCCCACACTCACCGCTTGGCAGGAAGGGGTTGGAGGCCTTGGCTCCTGGCGGCGTGGGGCCCGGCCGGCTCACGAGCGAGTCCAGGTCGACAAGAGCTGCGTTAGGCCCCAGGAATGACTCTGGTGTCTTCCGTGTGGGCGGTGGCGGGGTTGGAGCAACTGCGGGCGGGGGGCTCCCCACAGCCTCAGCCAGAGAGCCCCCGACCCCACTCATGTCAAACGCCCCAGGACTGCGGGCAGGCACCTCTCCAGCGAGCAGCTCCAGCTCCCCTAGAAGGAGCCAGACAAGGGGTCGGGGCAAGATAGACAGCGGGGGCCTCAAACAGGGAGGCCGTGGTACTGAGAGGCAGAGCCCAGGGAGGGGCACGTGTCCAAGGAACAGCAGCAGACGACCTCCGGGGCAGAGTGCTGGGGAGAACCACCAAGGGACAAGAGTGCTGGAGGGGTGCTCCCACAGCCCCACAAACACCCCACCGGGCCCCCGGTCCCAAGCAGAAACTTCACAGTGGGCAGACAATGGCAGGCACCAAGGAGCCCAGCGGCCTGGATGACGTTTGTCAGCCTGACCTGATTTCCTTAAAGAGAGCAGGAATCCTATCTGACGTCGGGAAATGCACAACTTGGTGCAGAGAGAGAAGAGGCCCAGAGGAACGCCAACTGCAGACTGCACAGTAACCAAGGTGGGCTTGGGGGGACGGGAGGGGACCGCTGGTGCCCCACCAGTCCCACGTGCTCCGGCGGGCCCGCGTCACTCAAAGATGAACAAGGAAAGGGAACGAAGGCACCGCCACTGCTGTGGGAAGAGAGGCTCCCCTGCCCTCCGGACAGCTCGCAGGGACGGGTCTCCGACCGAGGACAGAGACAGCCTGGACTCTGGCCAGGAGAAGGGAACGCAGGAGCCCGGACACCCGTGGATGGGACGCCTAGTGGGAAAGATGCGCTGGGCCCCAAGGCACCCGTGGGCAGGCCAGGAAGGGGACACTCGCCAGAAGCCCCTTGCGGTCAACGCACTGCTGGGAACACAGGTACAGCCGGCCGGGCCCTCAGAAACACGCAGAGAAACGTTCCAGGGGGCAGAGAACTCAGGGATCAGTATACGGGGAAGCCCCAGAAAGAGAACTCTTTGTACTATTCTTACAACTTTCCTCTTAAGTATAAAATTACTCGAAACAAAGTGAAAGCTTTCTTTTCCAAGACAAACCAACAAGCTTCAATAAAACTGCGGCCCGTGGGGAGCTGCAATCCACCCTGCTTAACCCCTCACTCAGAAGCCCGCCTGCCAAGGAGCCTGCGGGCGGGGGTGGGCGCACTGGCGGGGCAGGGGGCACGGTGGGGGCGGGGGCACAGCGGGGACACGGCGGGGGCAGGGCGGCTCACCTGTGCTGCTCCCGGAGGTTGGCAGGGCCGTGCGCAGTCGGTCAAAATCAGAGAACTCATCAGGCTCCACGTCAAACCCCACTGCTGTAGGGGCCCAGGATGTCGGCTCAGCTGGTCAAGGGGACCAGCCTCCCACCCCCCCTGCCCCCCAGCACCCGAGAGCAGACACCTCACGCGCACCTGCACACACACACACACACACACTCTCTCTCTCTCTCAGGCCCCCGCAGCCCGACCCCAGAGCCCACCCCGTACCTGCAGTGCCATTGGTGCTGGGCTTGGCAGGTGACCCTCCCCAGGGGTCTGAGAAGGCCGGGGCTGGAGCCCAGGGATCAGAGGCAGGGGGTCCGCCAACTGGGGCCCCACCTGGGTGAGGAAGGAGGCATGTGTGAGGCTGGTGGTTGGAAGATTTGTCACCTACAAATGTAGGCCCACTCCGTCCCAGAACCCCCCCCGGCCCCGGACATCCTGGGATGCAGCTGGACATCCCAGAGGCTTCAGGTGGGCGCAGCCCCAGCCAGCCCTTCCCGCCTGGTGCCCACGATCTACCCATGGTGCACCGCTGCTGGGCCTTTGCCCACCTGTCCCTTCCTGGCAAAGCCCTCCTCAGCCTTGAGGCCTCTGGGAAGCCCCCGAGAAGCTCCCCAGCTGGGCAAGGAGCCTTGGGTGTGTGCCTCACCTAGGTGTGCCCAACCCCCACCCCCAAGCCCCCAGAGCTCCTAGAAGTCCCCATGGGGTATGTGGCCCCTTCCCAGCCCACCTGTGCCCAGCCTCACCAGACTCCCCACCTTGACTCCACCCCGGCAGCCTCTCCACAGCCCGACACCCCCTGCTCCCCTTCCCGCTGTCCTTCAAGGCCCCCTCACCTACCCCCCTCTCAGCTGTCTTATCTGACGCCCCAGCTGCCCGTCACCCGCTTGACTGTGTGTCCCTGTCCCCAGGTGTGCCCCGCACTGCACACTGGATGTGGAGGCTGGAGCAGGCAGGCAGCCAGCACTCACCATCAGAGCTCCCCCACGGGTCAGGCGTGGGCCCCTCTCCAGCTGCAGGGGCCTGGGTCCCACCCCAAGGGTCAACCGGGGGCCCCGCAGGGGCAGCAGGCCTCCAAGGGTCCCCAGAGGCTGGTGTAGGGGCCGGACCACCCCAGGGATCAGCAGCTGGAGGGACAGGGGCACCCCCCCAAGGGTCCGAGGTGTGGGCGCTCATGGGTGCTGGGCCCCCCCAGGGGTCCGAGGCTGGCGGTGGAGCCGGGGCCGTGAAGACGTCAGCAAGATCCATGAGGGATGACTGCAGGAGACAAAGGAGAGAAGGCGTATGAGGTCCGAGCAGGCCAGGCCAGAGGACTGGGAAGAGAACCCGCAGGAGAGATGGCCCCAGAACGAGAGAGAGGAGAGACCCCCTGCCAGAGAGGGACAGCCAGGGGCCATGAGACGGGAGGCAGCCTCCCCACCTCCCATTCCCACCCCACCCCCGCTGTGTCCGCCTCCCCCACCATCCCAGCCCAGCACCAAATCCAAGAGTCCCACTTGGTCCTGCCCCCATCCCTCCACCCACTCCCCAGTTCCCACCTGGAACAAGAACAGAGGCCAAAGCCCAAAGCCGCCCCTCCCAGCCCTGCCTGTGCACTTCCCACACACTCCGGGAGGTCTGCCCTGGGTCGCCCACCCTGAGTCTCAAGTCATTACAGGCCACCCTGAATGGTCCTGGCTGAGGCCCAGCACCTGTCCCACATCACCGCACGCTCCAGGCCTCCAGTGCTTCCCGTGAGCAACATACACGCGTGTGCACATAACCTCCCCGTGTCCTGGGGGTGAGCCCAGCCAACCAGAGCCCCCGGTGTCTCTGGATGCAAAGGCACCACATCTCCCGTCCCCACAGGACAAAAGCAGCAGGTGCTGGGACCGACACTCTGAGCCGTCAGGCATCAGGGAGACCCTTTGGCTGAGGCTGGCGTGAGCAGGCTTTTCCACCAAGAGCCCTGCTGTGGCTGATCAGCCAGCCCGAGCTATCTGCCCCATGCCCATCAGGAGGGTGTCTACACCCTCTGATCAGAGCTAGCCCCATGACCCACCCCCCTGTGGAGGCCGACCGCACTATGAAGACGCTCAGGACACTCACAGCGCCCGGTGTGAGGCCACACAAGAGGCCAGCTTGGATGCCCCAGCCACATGAGTGACCGTGGCCCAGGCATGAGGAGGAAACCCATCTAGCCTCAGAGCCAAGAGAAGGGTTGAAGCGGCAGAAACTGAAACACCACCAAACGTCATCTGTCTCCACGGGGGGGACTGGAGGCCCAGAAGGTTGGGGACCAGACTGGTCTGGCTCACCCACCGACCCTCGGAATCCGGGCTGTGGACAGACACTGAGGAGGTGCCCCAGACAACGTGAGCGTGCAGGAGCTCTACGCCATCCCCTTTTCGCACAATCAGGCTGCTCATTGACAAGGACTGACCAGCAGCAGCGGAGTCTCCCACGGCAGGGACAGAGGGAGGTCACACCTAGAGCGCTCTGTGCTCCAGGCACTGACCAAGTGCCTTCCAGTCTCCAGGTCTCCACGCATGTCCATGAGAAGAGTTACCTGCGGCAGCCGCCGCCTGGCGCCCTGCTCAAGGCCCAGGAGTGCATGGAGGGCGGGGCGGCCTGCCCTTGCTCACCTCCTCCTGGCCGCCGGTCTCCCTCCTGCTCTCCTCTATGGCCATCTGCAGCCTCAGATCGTCCCCACGGCGGATCCGCTCTTCCTGTTTGGGTCACAGAAGCAAGCGGCAAGGGAGGGTCAGAATGTGAGCAGCAGGACTGCCCTCCGCCCAACTGCACGGCCCCCAACGACCCTCTCCCACCCAGACAAAAGTGACAAAATTAAAATGGGATGTGGACAATGTGTGGGGAGGGGGAACAGGGAAGAACATGCGGTCTAGGGGATGGGGACGCAGGGGTGGTGTGCGGGAGATGGGCCTGGCCCGGCACGGCTCCGACAGACTTGGGAAGCATGGGGCCCAGGGGAGGACGGGCCCTCCCGCCAGATGCCTGAGTCTGTGGTGTCTGCTGTGCTGGGTGGAGGTGACCAAGACTTGGGCTGTGCCGAAGGGTGAGGGAAGGGCTCCCTCGCCACCCGGAGCAGCTACAAGGCATCTGCTTCACGTGCTGAGACGGCACCCGTCTGAGAATCCGTCTGACACGGGTCTCCCAGCTGGAAATGCTTTGGCGGAATGTGTGTAAACTAGGGAGGGGGCTGGTGGGGAGGCAAGGAGGGGCAAGGAAGCGGGGACCTGAGGAGGGTCTGAGGGGAACCCTACGGAGGGTAGGGAGGCTGCTCTGACCTTGTCGTGCTCCTCTCGGCTCAAACTAAGGGCCAGCTGGAGCTGGACGTCATCCTCGGGGCCGCAGGACGGGGGCTGGGGGAGAGAGAGTGTGAAGGGGCCGGGGCGGGACACAAGATGTGGGGGAGAGAAGGGAGGAGGGAGAAGAGGAAAGACGCACGCACACAGAGCAACGGAGGGGGGCCAGGGACGGACAGAGCCACAGACGGGTCACAGACAGAGAGACAAGCACCCGCGCAGAAGAGACAAGAATTCTCAGGACGAGGTCGGAGGGCGAGCAGACAGAGCGGAGCGGCGGACAGACCGGAGGCGGGGCGGGGGGAAGACCGAGCAGCAGCCCTCAGGAGCTGCGGAGTGAAGGATGGAGATGGCATGGCAGAACCAAAGGCAAACCCCTGCCGCCGCGCCGCCCCGGCCCCACCGCCAGCCCGCCCGGCACCTGGTCGGCCTCCTCCTTGCTCATGGCCAGGGCCAGCTGCAGCTGCAACTCCTCCTCCCCGCTGCTCTGTGGCCACGCCTGCTCTGCCTCCGGGGGGGGCCCAGAGCCCACCGCTGCTGAGGAGGCTGCCGTGGGGAAAATCAGCTGAGACCCCGGTAGAGAAGGGGAAGGGGGCCCTGCAGCCCGGACAGCAGGCTTCCACTGGGGGTAGGGGTGGACTGTGAGCCGGGTCTGTCCCATCCCCCAGAAGCCCTGCTGGCCCGAGAGCAAAAGCCCGCCAGGAGAGAGGGAAGTCTGGGAGCCTCGGAGCCCACGACCCAGATTCCCACACTGCACGCCTGGGGCCTGGCCCAGAGCCTGGGGGGGGGGGGGGGGGACGGGACACACAGGTCCTTCATCCTGGCTCCCACAAAGCTCCCAGCATGTCCAGCAGCCTGCATTTCCAGGGCTGCTGGAGAACTGTATACAGCAGGACCAGCTGGGCGTTCGGGCAACAACTGCACCTGCATCCTCAGCCCCCAACCTCCTCCTGGGTGTGGCTGACACAAGGGGTGAGGGGCAGCAGTGAAGGACGGGAGGAGCAGAGAATGGAAAGGGGGATGGCCATCTGGAAAGAGGGACGGACAGGGCGCGGGGGCCTAATGCAGGCAGAGGACCAGCTGAGCTGGGGGGGAAGCGCCCGCCTGCTCATCCCAGCTGGCCTGCTCTGGTACTGGTGTGCACGGCCCCCGCTCAGAGAGCCGTCCCTAACCTCCGACCCTAGGCAGCCCCCTCCAAGTCCCATGCTCTTGGTCTTAGACACTGAGTGCCCTCAGGCAGGACCGTGGGCGAACCCATCTGGCAGCTCCAGGGCCCAGGCTGCGGGCAGGGGCACCCCGGGCCCTTAGGTGGCTCTTTGTCACATTTGTGGGTGAATAGAACAGTTCTAGGCTCTCGGGTCCTACAGTGAGGGGGACAGGACAGGGAAGGACCGTCATGGGAGGGGAGAGCCTGAATTTGGAACTCCAGCCCACCTGGCCGGGCAGGAGAGGGAGCGAGAGGGCTTGGCGGCTGGGCATGGGGCGCCCAGCAAGGAGGCCACCAGGGGCTTGGAGAAGAAGGGGCGGGGTAGGCCGGGAGGGACCTCCTGGGGGCGGCGGCCTCACCAGTGGCAGTCTGCGCCAGCTTCTCCTTGGTCTTGAGCGCGTGGGCGCGCTCCTCCCGCAGCCGGTCCTCGTCACGCAGCAGGGCCACCAGCTGTTTGGCCTTCTCACGCACGTTCACACCCTGGTCCTTGCCGTCACGGTCCACGTACTGGAAGTCCTTCAGCGTCTGCACGGCGTACATGTTCTCCTTGCACTGCTGTGACACGCGCTCCGAGCCGGTCTTGATGAGGTACTCCATCAGCGTCATGGCCTTCAGGGCAGGGGGCACACCGGTCACGCGCACGGCCACCGGGATCCCAGTCCCAGCACCAACCCACACGTCGCCAGCAGGTGGACAAACCAGCGTGGCCCACTGGCACGGCGGACCCTACACAGCCGTGAGAAAGAGCAGAGCACAGCCGCGAGCTGCCCCCTGCCGGGACGACCCCGAAGACGCAGTGCTGCGTGAAAGCAGCCAGACTCCAAAGGGCGCGCGGCGCGCGGCTGTGCTCACACGGAACGTCCTCGACAGGCCCATCCAGAGGAAGGGGGTTCACGGCCGCCAGGAGCTGGAGGATCCTTAACAGACATGGGGTTTGTGTTCAGGGTGACAAAACGCTCTGGACGTAGGTGGCAGTGAAAGCCGCACCGCCTGGGAACACGCTCGATGCCCTGGCACAGCACGCCTCCCAGGGGTGACTTGTGTGGCACGGCGTCTACACGTGTCTGGTAAAAAGATGGGAACGGGAAGGGCAGGTACAGTCCCTGCAGCCTCACCTGGACTTCCCACAGGGGTGCAGACCCCACTCTACTTCTCTAAGAGGAAAACCCAAAGCAGCATAGCCACAAAGACACGCTTGTTTATCGCCCAGAGCAGCCCAGGCCAGGGGCCCGCACACCGCTTTCTCTACCGTCCGTGAGTCTGGAAAGCATCACCACTTCCTGCCTAAGACTTCACAACTCAGGATGACGAGGAGGTGACTCCCTCCCCCGAATCGGTGGGAGGAAGGGAGGTGCCAAGCTGCAGGGTGTGCCCAGGCCCCGCTCTCTGCAGGGACACACGTGTGCTGGGAACAGCGGGACATCCCGTGACAGCTGCGGCATTATAGGGCAGGAGGACAAATGCTCTTCCCGACAAAACAAAGTTAAATAGGAGCAAAAACCGCCAGTCCTCAGACAACAGTGCACCTCAGAGTGTGCAGGGGGCCCGGGACACACGGAGCCCCTGACAGCCCCCCAGAACACAGCCGAACAACAGAGGGAGGCCCCGGCCATTGGGGCTGAGCTAGCTCAGCAGCTGTGAGATGTGCCGGGGACCCTGCTGTGGGTCATGAGTAACTCCCCACCGTCCACGGGAGCCGGACCTGGACCTGGCCGGCTGCCCGAAGGTGTGTGAACAGTAATCAGAGATTAGTCTTTAACCAGCCCTCAAGGTGTTAGGCATCACAGCAGAAAACAAGCAGCAGACCGCGCCGGGCATGGAGGGCAGGCAGGCTCAGCGCACCTTGGGCCAGCTGTGCTGGGACCACCACGGCTGCACACATGACCACCACGGCTGCACACACGACACACGACACAAGCCTCCCAGCAGGTCAGTCAGGCTACGTGACAGAAACAGATGGTTTCGCCTCCGTCCAGGGTGGGACTCGCACCCAACAAAAACTGGAAGAACCCATTTCCAGGGCTCTAGAGAGGTTGGCAGTGAGTGCAGTTAGAGAGATAGGGAACCCGGAAATAACCCAAACACCCGTCAAGGGTCAAACACACACATCTAAAACGGAGCATCTAAAACGGGGACCAGCAAACTTCTTCTGAAGGGCCCAGGTGATCAGTAACCCAGCTTTTCGGGCCACAAGGCCCCCGTGCTGACCACTCAGCTCTGTGCAGCAGAGGGGAGGCAGCTGCAGACGCATGGGCCAGGCCGCACCCACAGGCTTTACAAACACGGGCAGCAGGCCAGATTCGACCCATGGGCCAAATCTGGTTTAAGAAATAAAACTTGAGGGGACGCCTGGGTGGCTCAGTCGGTTAAGCGTCTGCCTTCGGCTCAGGTCATGATCCCAGGATCCTGGGATTAGGAAGCCTTCTTCTCCCTCCCCCACTCCCCCTGCGTGTGTTCCCTCTCTCACTGTCTCTCTCTGTCAAATAAATAAATAAAACCTTTAAAAAAAAAAGAAAAGAAAACTTGAGACCCTGATTCCTCAGAACAGAGAGGTGACAGCTGAGTCAGAAGAACGGGCTCCGGGACTCCTTTCCCCCTGCCCCCTGGGCAGCCCCGAGCCTCCTCATGCCTCTATGTCCCCACCTAAAAAGTGGGGACAGGAAAGTACTTCTCGGGATTCTGTGCCCACAGCAGCGTGTCTCCAGCTGCAGTCAGGGCCCCTCAGGACTCACCTCCCCTCGCATACGGTCCATGAGCCCCACAAAGCTTCTCCTCCCTTTGCCTCCACACGAAGGCTCACCCAGACCCCTTACCCTTTCCCTGATTCTCAGCTAGACAAACACCACCCAGTCCTTCACAACAAACAGCAACATAACTGACCTGGCACAGAGTCCACGGGAATGAGAACCCAACCCTGGTTTGTCAGGATGGGCGTGAAAACAAGCCAGAGCATTTCCAGGCCCAAGGGAAATGAGGGAGCCACCGTGCCGCTGAGGGACGGAGAGCCCGGCCGGCACAGGCCCCAGCTGGAGTCCACGGGGCCAGGAGCTTCATCTGCCTCGTCCACGGCCACACACAGAGCAGGCCCTCCGCCAACGTTCACTGAAGCAACGGCAGCAAGAGGACTCGCTAACACTGCTAAACCTCACTCCAGCTCACACGGAAGGAGGTCCACAGGCTGGTCTGAGCCCGACTGCCAGGAGTGGGACCTGGCCATCTGCCCCAGCCTGTGTCCACTGCCACTTCTTGACCCAAGGGGAGGATACCAGGACCCAGGCCAGAAAATGGAAAAACCGCTGAGTATTGCCCAAAGACACGTTCCCCTTGACCACAGCCTGTGGTCTTGTCTGTTCTTTGGCTGAGGACGCGTGCATACGTCACTAGGGGCCAGCAAAAGGATTCCTGTGGAGAGCATTCTGTCCAGGTTTCTCCAAATGACATCTGCATGTGCCCCTTGACCCAGAAATTCCAGTTCTAGAGAACGGCAAATATACAAGGCTACTCATGGCAGTCTTGTTAACAAAAGCAAAACACCACAGACCACTTAAAAATTCAGCACCAGGTAACTAGCAGTTGTTAAAAAAGAGAAAGAAAAAAGGACAGAAAGAAGGACGGAAGGAACGAAGGAAGGAAGAAAAAAGGTGACAAATCTGTATTTTGACGAGAAATGATCTCTAAGATATAGACCCATCTTCCTTCTTAAAACTCGGGGTAGTTTACATACGATAAAATGCACCAGTTTTCACTTGCAGCTCTGAGTTCTGACAATCGCCTATAACGACATAACCAGTGCTGACACAGAACAGCGCCACACGTCCCAGAATTCCCTGGTGCCTGTGGACGTCCACACACACCTGAAGGAGAACACAAACGCTGGGGACACCAGCTGCCTCTGAGAGGAAACTGGGCTCCGGGCACACAGAGGGTTGAACACTGGGCACCTGCTTCGGCCTTCTGTGCGGACGAGTCTCGCGAATGTGCTATGTTTTCAAAAAGAACTTGGAGTCCTTAGACTCAACATTCTCAAAGCCTCATGTCTGTTACCTCCATTAAATGAGAAGAGGGACGAACGGAAAGAGACTGCACATAAAGACCTAGAACTCCAGCTCCTCCGCGACACGGGGAAGGTGGGCCTGGTGGCACCTCCACCTGAGCCCTGCGCGCACCCACGCAGTCGTGTGCACGTGAGGGCCCGCTGCAGGCCCGGGCACTGACCTTGTAGACGTGCCTCCAGTTCTTGCCATGGTCATTGAGCCGCTTCCAGATCATGCTCATGATCTCGGAGAAGGCGACGACATTGTAGGTGAGGTCAGCGATCTCAGACATTAGGGAGCTGGACGGGCCCCAGGGGTCGTTGCTCGTGGCTTCTCGGACCTTGATCTCAGCCTCTGAGTAGTTGTGGACTATGTTCTTCATCTGGCGCCGCAGCGACGAGGTCGACATGGTGGCAGGTGGTGGTGAGGGTGCTGGGCCCCCCGGGGTGTGGCGAGATGGAGTGACTCGAGGAAGACGACAGCGGCAGGAGCTGGTGGGTCACCGCATCTGAGAAGGAAAGGCCCTTCGGAAATACAAGGGGGACCTGGCGCTGCCCAGCCTGAACCCACATCCTCGTGGGGTTCCCCACAGCCCCTGGGGCCTAGAAGGCTCTGGTCCTCATTAACCCCATCTTAGTCACCCACTCCATCTTTCAGTTCCTCAAATATGGCCAGCTCCTTCCTGCTTGGGGGCCCTGCTCAGTGAGGCAGGAAGGCAGAGTATGCAGTGAGGGATCAGAGGCTGGCAGCACCTCCGTGCAGCATGTCCTAGCCTGTTGCCCTGGGTGGGCCAGGAACTCCTGCACCTCAGTTTTCCCCCCTAAAAAGTGGGGTTTCGTTCTGTAGCCCAGGGAGCTGAGAGAACCCAGTGCGTGGGAAATGCACTATGAACATGGGCGGTCATGAGATGGGCACCCTGCTCTTCCACTCCCTCACCACCCAGATCACGCCCACTCACCCTGAGAACTCTGTTTAAGCTTCCCAGATTTTACACACCCAAACACCGTGGTCATTGTTCCCGAGGGGCCCCATAAGTAGACTGAGGCATCCTTGTGATTATATACTCATCTGTCTTGACTCTGTGGCTAAGGCCGACCCAGAAGCCCCATGGGGACAGAAAGCATGTCTGTATGGACATGAATTTTCCCATCAGAGCAGCTGCCCCAGAAGAGCCATTCAATAAACTGCTGGAAGGAAGGGAAGGAGGAAAGGCAGGAAAGACCTCTGGAGCAGGAGTGGACCAAGCAGAATCCGAGGCAGAAACAAGGACACACAGGGAGACCATAAAGGGAACAGAGAGGCAGGCAGGAAGCAGGCAATGCCAGGGGGACAAGGCGTCCCAAGGGTGGAGGGGCTGGAGACTCAGGGAAGGAGAGATAAGGGCGAGCACAGCTGCTGCCAGGGTCCCAGCCGCATGCCAGGTGCTCGCTGACCAAGACATGCCCATTATCTCATCCAACACCACCAGCAGCATTCTAACTGATGGGAAGGCAGGGGCTCGTGGAAGCTGGACAATTCAGCCAAGGTCACGCACCAAGCACAGCAGCACAGACTCCACTTGTGGCTGCCTGGACACCAAAACTTCACTTTTAAACTAACCTGTGCTGAGAAGAAGGTGATGGAAATAAACAAAAGGACGGGAACCAGGCAGACAGTGATGCTCACAGCAAGCAGCGACACGGCCCTTACCCTGTGCCAGGCATTCTTCCCCAAGCTTTACACACAGTGACTCAATTAATCCTCCCAACTCCATGATTCACAGCACCTCACAGCGGAGGAAACTGAGGCACAGCAAGAGCCACTCTCCGGGCCTGGCTCCAGAGCCAACTCTGACCACAGTGGACCACAGTCCACATCCACGCCAACGAGCCCTCCCACAACCTACCTAAGTCCTGGGACAGGCAGCTGGCCCCAGCTCTGAACTTAGGCTGGAGAGCCAGGCTCTTGAAGGCACACGTGAACAGCCAGAAAGACACGGTCAGGGGGGCGAGCAGGCCAGCGAGACACACTGAGATGAAGAGCTGATGGGACCGACCCAGAGGACACAGAGGGACGGGAACGAGACACATGACGGGAGAGAGAGGGGCAGAGAGACCCGGGCAGAGGAGCTACCCAGAGACACGGTGAGCAGAAGTCACAGGAGATAGAGACAGAAACTCAGTAAGACAGTGAGGCAGACGACCAAGAGCAAAGACTGAGACCCTGAATGAATAGACAACCTGATGCTACGAATTTGCAGAAGAAAAACTAAGAATACAGAACACGTGAAACCTGGACCCAAATCCTGGCCAGGAGCTACCAACAGGGCAACCTCCTTGAGATTCAGTTTGCAAGACTCTGACCTGAAGAAAAGAATTCCTACCTGGCAGGCTTGGTGATTAAATAAGATGGGTACATAGAGTGCTTGGCGCCCTGCCCCACAGATAGTAGCTCAATAATGCCGCCCGCCCGTTATCATCAGAGGCAAAGAGCATTTTTCCCAAAGGGTGGTATCAGAAGATGCCCTGCTTTAACGCAGTGGAACTGTACGAAAACACGTTAGAAAAAAGTCAGTAGGGCACCCAAGCTAAAATTTCTGGGATTGCTCAGAACGAGACCAAGTTTTTCAAAATAAACGAATTCCAACAGAAGTACTAGGTTAAACAGAGGACAACGATAGGGCAAAATTCTCCGAGGGGTGTTCAAAGGACTGACAGAACACACTTGGTGTGGAACGGGAAATCTGGGAGCAATAATGGAATCCGGAGCTCCCAGCAGTTGACTGCAGGGCCAGACGGCGCTGGGCACTTCACCAGGACCACCTCCATAAACACGCACAGCCCTGACTTGAGAAGTCACCCGAGGAATACTACAGGCCGGCAAGCAGTGGGCCTGACTGCAGAGCCGGACTCCGGACCACCGCACCGGAGACCCAAAACCCTGCGGGAGGGGGCATGTCCCAGACCAACCAAGCCACGCACGCGCGCGGGGGGCCCCGGGCTTGCGGGGACGGCAATGAATGAGAAACGGAGGGGAGAGCGGTGCCCAGAATCCCCGGGAACTGCAGACACGGCAGCCCGAGGGGAGAGAGAGGAAGAGGGACACAGCCATCACCCCGACCACCGCGCGCCGACACCGGACACAGGCAGGCGCACGGACCCCGGCAGACACCGACGCCGGCAGCACCGAGGCCCGGGCGCAGGCCGGCGGGCGCCCAATGCCGGCCGGACGCACACGCACACAAAGGCCGCGGGGCTGAGCCGAGAGACCACACGCGACGGACGCCCGAGCGCCCCGGCCCGCCGCGCCCCCGGCCCGCGCTCACCTCGGCCCCTCACGCCGGGCTCCGGGGGGTCATGGCGGGCAGACCCCTGCCCCAGCTCGGCCTCGGTGTCGCGGGGCGCGCGCCTGGCCGCGGGCGGCGGACGCGGAGGCGCACTCGGGCGCACGCGCGGACGCACGGATGGGCCGCACGCCGACGGCCCCGCCGCCCCGGCGCCCGGGAGGGGCGCAGAGAGCCCGGCGGGGGAGGGGAGCCGCCGAGCGGACGGGAAGCAACCGAAGGAGGCGACGGACCGGAAGCGGAAGTGGCGGCGCGCCCCGCCCTCCGCGCCGCACCCGGCGACCCTCCCGCAGCGAGCCTGCGTAGTCGCCGCTTCCGCAGCCCCGCCCGCCCACCCTGCAGCCTCACTTCCGGCGCGCGGGCACGACGGCCGGGCGCCGCCGTGAGATCCCGAGAGACAAGCACGGAAAAGTGCAGGCCTGAGGGGCGGGCCGGCGAGCGCGGCCGAGGGAAGCGGGGAAGAGACCGCGTGGTCGCCAGCCCGAGCGGCGCTCGAGGTGCCCCCTCCTCCCGGGGTGGGGGGAACGGCCGCCCGCCCCCTCCCGCTCCGTGCGGGCCCGTCGGGCGCGGCGGCCTCCGCGCAGCCACGCCCCCGCCCGAGCCGAGCAGATGGCCACGCTGGCGGGGTGTGCCCCGGAGGGCGGGCCAAGGGCGTCCGGGCCAGAGGTCAAAGGCGGTGGGGCCACGGGGGACCGGAGTGGGGCGGGGTTTACACACACCGGACACAGAGCAGCTCCGTAAAGTAAAATACAACAAAATGTTTAATGAGCAAATTCGTCTTAGCAAATATGAAACTGCCACAGAGAGGAGAGGGACGGGGCCACGGGGCTGGGGCGCAGGTCAGGGAGACTAAAGAGTCAACTACGTTAAGAAACCGGGGAGGGCACCGGGGAAAGGACCAGAGGCCAGGAGGACGGGAGCTGTGGTCCTGGAAAGGGAGAAGGCAGGGCACCGGGGCGGACAACAAAATTCAAAATAGTTTGGCCATAAAATATAAACACACTATGTTTCTACGGTGGGGAAAGGGAGGGGGAGGGTATAAGGGAGGAGAGGCGAGGCTGTCCTGGGGAGGGGCTATGGGGGTCCTACCCCGCCCTGCTGTGCACCCCCTCCTCACCCCGACCCCTTCCCTCTGTGTCTGTGGGTGCATGTGTCTGTGTGGGCCTGTGCGCGCACTTCCCCATTGCCCTCCCCACCCCAACCCCCACCCCACCCCAATTGCTGCCATTCCAGTTGCTGCCGGCTGTCATTCGGCTGTCACTCCTCTGCCCATCTTCTTCAGAGGGGGAAAAGAGGGGGGGCGGGAGGGGGATAAGCCCCCAGCCAGCCCTGCCCCCACCCTCCCCCTCCACCTCTACCAGAAGTCCCGGCGGTGGTAAGAGTCGGGGTCACAGTATTTTGTGACAACCACTCTGTTGGCGAACTTGCGACCCGTCAGGCCCTGCATGGCTTTCTGGCAGTCAAACACAGAGGTGAACTCCACGAAGATCTGCAGGAGTAAGAGACAGGTTGTGAAGGCAAGGTGGCCTCAGCCTCCGAGGATAAACTGGCTCAGCCAAGCCACCAATCAGCATCTGCCCAAAACCCAGAAATCTGCAGAAAGGGGAGGGAGGGAGAGGGCCTTGCTGCAGGTCTGGGAGCATTTACCCAAATGTCCTCCAGAACCCCACTTTCCAAAGAACAAGAGTGCACAGAGCAGAGCCATGTGGAGGCATGGGAGAGTGAGTGGAGCCAAGAGCCACACGGGACAGCAGCAAGCTCCCCAAGTAAAGAGGAGCACCTGTGTTCAGTGGTCTCCCCTATACCACACACCCTGCTGGGCATTCCCCAAGGGCCAGGTTCTCCCCAGAAGACAGATAAAAGAAATTAGGATTCAAACCCAGATTGACTCAAAAAAAAAAAAAAACCAAAACAAAACAACCCTGATCTAGACAAGTTTCTCCTCTTGTCTGAACCACCAGTTTATGGGGGGGGGGGGGGGGAGGTGTGATACCAACCTAATTCACAACATGGGAATTCTTTAAGACAGATGCCCTGTTGCTTCAACAAAATGGCTTGCAAAAAAAATAAAGAGCAGTACGTGCAACTGTTAAGTTCTAAGAAAGTTCTAAATAAAATTGCAAGAATCCTTTTTTGTTTTTCGTTTTTTTAAAGATTTTATTTATTCGAGAGAGAGAATGAGATAGAGAGCATGAGAGGGGGGAGGGTCAGAGGGAGAAGCAGACTCCCCGCTGAG